CCCAACTGGCCTAGTGGGGTGAGTTGGCCCAAGGACCCAACTGGCCTAGTGGGGTGAGTTGGCCCAAAGGACCCAACTGGCCTAGTGGGGTGAGTTGGCCCAAGGACCCAACTGGCCTAGTGGGGTGAGTTGGACCAAGGACCCAACTGGCCTAGTGGGGTGAGTTGGACCAAGAACCCAACTGGCCTAGTGGGGTGAGTTGGACCAACCAAGGACCCAACTGGCCTCGTGGGGTGAGTTGGACCAAGGACCCAACTGGCCTAGTGGGGTGAGTTGGACCAAGGACCCAACTGGCCTAGTGGGGTGAGTTGGACCAAGAACCCAACTGGCCTAGTGGGGTGAGTTGGACCAACCAAGGACCCAACTGGCCTCGTGGGGTGAGTTGGACCAAGGACCCAACTGGCCTAGTGGGGTGAGTTGGACCAAGGACCCAACTGGCCTAGTGGGGTGAGTTGGACCAAGGACCCAACTGGCCTAGTGGGGTGAGTTGGACCAAGGACCCAACTGGCCTAGTGGGGTGAGTTGGACCAAGGACCCAACTGGCCTAGTGGGGTGAGTTGGACCAAGGACCCAACTGGCCTAGTGGGGTGAGTTGGACCAAGGACCCAACTGGCCTAGCGGGGTGAGTTGGACCAAGGACCCAACTGGCCTAGCGGGGTGAGTTGGACCAAGGACCCAACTGGCCTAGTGGGGTGAGTTGGACCAAGGACCCAACCGGCCTAGTGGGGTGAGTTGGACCAAGGACCCAACCGGCCTAGTGGGGTGAGTTGGACCAAGGACCCAACTGGCCTAGCGGGGTGAGTTGGACCAAGGACCCAACTGGCCTAGTGGGGTGAGTTGGACCAAGGACCCAACTGGCCTAGTGGGGTGAGTTGGACCAAGGACCCAACTGGCCTAGTGGGGTGAGTTGGACCAAGGACCCAACTGGCCTAGTGGGGTGAGTTGGACCAAGGACCCAACTGGCCTAGTGGGGTGAGTTGGACCAAGGACCCAACTGGCCTAGTGGGGTGAGTTGGACCAAGGACCCAACTGGCCTAGTGGGGTGAGTTGGACCAAGGACCCAACTGGCCTAGCGGGGTGAGTTGGACCAAGGACCCAACTGGCCTAGCGGGGTGAGTTGGACCAAGGACCCAACCGGCCTAGTGGGGTGAGTTGGACCAAGGACCCAACCGGCCTAGTGGGGTGAGTTGGACCAAGGACCCAACCGGCCTAGTGGGGTGAGTTGGACCAAGGACCCAACTGGCCTAGCGGGGTGAGTTGGACCAAGGACCCAACTGGCCTAGTGGGGTGAGTTGGACCAAGGACCCAACTGGCCTAGTGGGGTGAGTTGGACCAAGGACCCAACTGGCCTAGTGGGGTGAGTTGGCCCAAGGACCCAACTGGCCTAGTGGGGTGAGTTGGCCCAAAGGACCCAACTGGCCTAGTGGGGTGAGTTGGCCCAAGGACCCAACTGGCCTAGTGGGGTGAGTTGGACCAAGGACCCAACTGGCCTAGTGGGGTGAGTTGGACCAAGGACCTAACTGGCCTAGTGGGGTGAGTTGGACCAAGGACAACTGGCCTAGTGGGGTGAGTTGGACCAAGGACCCAACTGGCCTAGTGGGGTGAGTTGGACCAAGGACCCAACTGGCCTAGTGGGGTGAGTTGGACCAAGGACCCAACTGGCCTAGTGGGGTGAGTTGGACCAACCAAGGACCCAACTGGCCTCGTGGGGTGAGTTGGACCAAGCACCCAACTGGCCTAGTGGGGTGAGTTGGACCAACGACCCAACTGGCCTAGTGGGGTGAGTTGGACCAAGGACCCAACTGGCCTAGTGGGGTGAGTTGGCCGAAGGACCCAACTGGCCTAGTGGGGTGAGTTGGCCCAAGGACCCAACTGGCCTAGTCGGGTGAGTTGGACCAAGGACCCAACTGGCCTAGCGGGGTGAGTTGGACCAAGGACCCAACTGGCCTAGTGGGGTGAGTTGGACCAAGGACCTAACTGGCCTAGTGGGGTGAGTTGGACCAAGGACAACTGGCCTAGTGGGGTGAGTTGGACCAAGGACCCAACTGGCCTAGTGGGGTGAGTTGGACCAAGGACCCAACTGGCCTAGTGGGGTGAGTTGGACCAAGGACCCAACTGGCCTAGTGGGGTGAGTTGGACCAAGAACCCAACTGGCCTAGTGGGGTGAGTTGGACCAACCAAGGACCCAACTGGCCTCGTGGGGTGAGTTGGACCAAGGACCCAACTGGCCTAGTGGGGTGAGTTGGACCAAGGACCCAACTGGCCTAGTGGGGTGAGTTGGACCAAGGACCCAACTGGCCTAGTGGGGTGAGTTGGACCAAGGACCCAACTGGCCTAGTGGGGTGAGTTGGACCAAGGACCCAACTGGCCTAGTGGGGTGAGTTGGACCAAGGACCCAACTGGCCTAGTGGGGTGAGTTGGACCAAGGACCCAACTGGCCTAGTGGGGTGAGTTGGACCAAGGACCCAACTGGCCTAGCGGGGTGAGTTGGACCAAGGACCCAACTGGCCTAGCGGGGTGAGTTGGACCAAGGACCCAACTGGCCTAGCGGGGTGAGTTGGACCAAGGACCCAACCGGCCTAGTGGGGTGAGTTGGACCAAGGACCCAACCGGCCTAGTGGGGTGAGTTGGACCAAGGACCCAACTGGCCTAGCGGGGTGAGTTGGACCAAGGACCCAACTGGCCTAGTGGGGTGAGTTGGACCAAGGACCCAACTGGCCTAGTGGGGTGAGTTGGACCAAGGACCCAACTGGCCTAGTGGGGTGGGTTGGACCAAGGACCCAACTGGCCTAGTGGGGTGAGTTGGACCGAGGACCCAACTGGACTACTGGGTCGTCGGATTGGAGCCAACTGTGGGAAGTTGGACACCACCTACCTGATGTGTTTGGCCAACTCTGTGCACTTGGCTGTCCTTCACCAGGGTCACCAAAGTTCTACATCTAGTATTGGGTTTACCCCCTGGGTGTTTACCCAGTCCACCAAGCAACAGAACTTGCATGCATATTCAATGTTAAAAAATACGGTAATCGTAAATTACGGTCCGTTTTTTACGGTAAGTTTTCAAAAATACGGCCGTTTTTTTGTTAGAGAACTCTTATCACCAATAAAAAATGGCAAAAACAAAGTCGAATACATTTTCGATCATGCCTACACATGCACACAAGCAAAGAGGGGATCGTCCTCTTCTTCCTGGTGTTTTCTCCCATCAATTTGGTCCCATAATATGGCCGATTTTTTCTTTAGATGAAAATCACCTTCAGGAACCGTTTTTTACCGTTTTTATGGCCGTTCTTTACGGTACCTTTTTTTACGGTAAATTTTCAAAAATACGGTTGTTTTTTTTAACCCTGTGCATATTTATATAATGTAACACAGCTCAGTGGTGGCAGTCATCGGGTGGTTGTCACTCAGCCCATGGATCAGTAGGTCCACCATTTTTCAGTCAGTCAACCATTTTTCAGTCAGGCAACCATGGGTCATACTGTTAGCAATGGGTCATACTGTCAGCCATTGGTCAGTTAATCAGCCATGGGTAAGTCAGTCAGCCATGGGTCAGTCAGTCAGCCATGGGTCAGTCAGTCAGCCATGGGTCAGTCAGTCAGCCATGGGTCAGTCAGTCAGCCATGGGTCAGTCAGTCAGCCATGGGTCAGTCAGTCAGCCATGGGTCAGTCAGTCAGCCATGGGTCGATAAGCCAGCAATCAGTCGGTTAGTGGGTCGATGATTCAGCAAAGGGGTTCATGGAGTATCTGTGCTAATGTTCACCTTAGACTTTTTTCTTTGTGAGGACCCTTGGATCGCATCGCCGCTGGCTTACGCTTTTAATTTCCCCACTCTCTCTCCCAAAACCCCCATTATACTCGCACTTTTGTTGCCAGCTTTCATTCGTCTCAGAAGGCTCTCCTCTACAGCATCTGACATGGCATTGCATATGAAAGGGCTGTGAAGAAATTAAACCCTTTCTTGTCCATGTGTAGCAGATGACAAGGCACTGAACGGGGGTGGATGTTGTCCGGATCACGATTGGCTGATCCATCAGCTTAAGTTGGGAATTAAGCGTTTTTCACCCAGAAAGTTTGAAATTTCAGTGTTCACTGTAGTATTTAAGCTAAAGATTTAGCCTAGGTATATAATCGAATGCTGTGTTTTTAGCATGTAGAAAATCACAAGTTACATGTTTGACTTACACTTCAAATGTCGAATTCATGAGTGTTGACAGAGTTGCCGGGTCACGTGCAAAACCTGAGGCAACTGGCCGTGATCGACGATCGAGTGGTGGAGGGTGGAGGGGTGGTGGGTGATGTAGCTGAAGCCAGCTCGCGTGCAGGGGGCTTGGAGCCTGGTAGCGCTACCAGGCAAGCTACTGATGGCAAAACAGCCATACCGGGCCAAATTTGACAATTGGGTGGAAGGAGGGAGGAGGGTGGTGGGCGATCAGTCTGAGTGATCAGCGTGTACTGCAGAATAATAGCTGGACAAACAGAAAAATTACACACACACAAAATCGAAAATTCAGCCAAACTAGGGGGAATCTATTAAAAAAAAGGCTGAATTAGCGCTTAAAAGGCTACAATCTAGGGCTCTGGTCCAGATGCAAAAAGTATAGGGATAATGTGACACTTCGCAGGTTAGATATGTGGGATGGAAAAGGAGTTGCTACGGTATATCATATTATCATCTAGTGCAGCCTATTGCGGTATATTGAGAGTTTTGTGCGTTACGAGGCTGATGCTCGTTGATGCCACAAAAAAGGCTCATTGTTTCCATCCTGAAATACCATATTCATCACGACGGAAGCTATTCTACATGTAGCAGATATTATGCATGCAACAGGTTAGAGATTCAGGAAACGTGATAAGCAATCAATGTGCCCATGGACATGCCAAAGCTTTACTTAGCCCGATTTTGTCGTTCCACCTACCTGATCACCAACGATGCTACCAGTATCCCTTACTAAACCTCTTTCAACAGACTGTAACGTGCATGTGAAATCAAACTTGATTATGTGGAAGAGCCACTTGGCATGCCCTCGCGCTCTGCACGGGCCATTTCAGCAGTGAAGCTGGAGGAGCCAATGGAACTCCCAAGCTCCATGTCGATGCGAGACTTGGCCTCGCCCTCATGGCTCGCATGTGGTCCGAATGCTTCCTGCTTCAACTTCACCAGCTCCCCCAGCACTTGATTCATGGAGGGGCGGGAGGCTGCCGGCATGGCGGTGCAGGAGAGGGCAAGGCGAGCCCAGCCTAGCACCAAGTCATCTGGTGCATCCATGTTGGGGTCCTTGAACACTGCCACGGCATCTGACTCCACGAATGGGGCGATCTGTTGGGTTGGAAGGGAACACATAGACGTGGGCATACGACTGATTGTTCAATGCACTTCATGCTCATGAGTGGAGGATTGAGCATTAGCCGTGCAGATAATGCATACAATATTCAGGCAGTGAGTCTGTACCAAGCAAGTGTGCCTCACCCATTGCTTCAGGCTGATCTGGCTGGTCTCGCTGACATGCACGGCCTTGCGTGCTGAGATCACCACCAGCATCACCACACCATAGCTGTCAACATTAAATCAGCAAAAGGGACAGGGCCCAGAATGGAGAATAATCTGAGGCATGCTGACAAAGATTTTTTTGCCCTACATGTATCACAATGGAGAAGGAAATATATATCTCTTTGCTCGCATCTACTGCTGGAGTGGCCTTGTGACTTGTAGATGACAAAGTCCACATAGGCCGGTGTCCCAACACTTGAGTTGCAGCAGCAGATAATTTCCTAGTCAACTCAAAAGAGCTGTATTTGCCCTCTCACCTGTATACGTCTGCTGCTGGAGTGGCCTTGTGGGACTTGTAGTAGGCGGGGTCCACATAGCCCGGTGTTCCCATCACTCGAGTGGCAGCTACAGACGTGCCCATAGCGGAGCCTCCAGTGAGTTTCACCAGCCCAAAGTCGGCAATCTTGGCCTGAACAACAGTCACATATGCATGTAGGCAGACCTCAGATGTTGGGCAGCACCGACTGTTTTCAATCAATCTATGTAGGTCAAAGAGAATGCAAGCAGAAAACGGTGCCTTACATACATGCATTTTTGCATCAAGAAGAATGTTGGCTGGCTTGATGTCGCGATGCACAATGCCAAAATCATGAAGGTAATGCAATCCCTTGGCAACTCCAATCAGGATGTCAAGTCGTTGCAAGAATGAAAGGGGGCTTGGAGCACCTGAGAAGGGACAGAATGAGAACCATTTTTCCATGGCAAACGATTTTGATTAAGTTGATGATTAAGCATAAAAATGGTTACAGTAAGGTTGAAATCTGAAAGTATTGGCATCTGATCAGCATTCGCGAATGACTGAATGGTTGTGGTGAGAAGTGCGAACTCCTAAACCTATTTCAAAGGTGCAGGTTCCAGGTGAAAGGGAGTCTACTGGTGCAAAACAAAAAGCTGTCAGGTGTACAGAGACGCTTATGTACCTGGTCCAATCCAGCTCTCGAGGTCCCGATTGACCATGAACTCGTACACAAGTATTTGCTCCACGAGACTCGTAGCCGGATCAAAGTTCACACAGAATCCCAACAGGCGCACCAAGTTGGGGTGGTGCTTGCTAGCCATCTCTTTCACCTGCAAGGTGAGAGTGGGAAAACAATCACTCGGGATAGGAGAAGCGCAAACATATGTGAATGTGTGTGTATTCGTGTGTATGTGTGTATATGTCCCTGCATGTTTGTGTGTGTGTGCGTGCGTGTGCGTGCACACACACATCTGAATATAAAGGTCATTCAATAACAATATCGCGATATTATTCTTGGTGTGAAACAAGGAGCATCATCACCACCATCTGGTACCTCAGTCAGAAAGTCATTGGAGAGGACCCTAGATCGCTTCACAGCCCACATCTCATTGGGGTCATGCAGTGACACGCCCTTGTACACATCTCCAAAACTGCCACTGCCAATCATGTTCCCCTCTGCCCACTCCCCCGTTGCGCTTGCGAGCTCTTCCAGAGTGAACTTCTGGCACACATGTGGCTTCACTGCCTCCATCTCCACCACCACGTCTCTCTGCTTCTCCCGTGCTGCTGCTCCTGCTGCCACAGCTGCCGCTGCAGCAGCAGCTGCAGCTGCTGCCTCCGGGTCCCTCTCCTCTGCCATGGATCCTGCGTTTGGAAAATCAGGCTCTGAGTCTGCGAAAGGTTGCGAAGGAGGGGAACAAGGTGTAAATGAAAAAACAAAGGTGGACAAGAAACCTAAAAGCAAGAGGCTAGGGATGATGGAGGTTTTTGAACAGTGTGGATCGGAGATATCTTACCTTGCAGTGCATGCTTTTCTTGAAACTCCCTGCCATCCACACGTTTGCCACTATTGCCTCCTGCTGCCCCTTTGGCGTGGCATCGTTTGCACAGCAGCCATATCAACGGCAGAAGAGTGAGGACAACCACACCACCAGCAACAGCAAAGCCAGCAATGGCTCCGTTGGATAAACTGCCTCCAGACTCGGAGGGAGAGGCTGCAGGCTCACTGGAAGTTGATGCGGGTGGAGGTGGAGAGGGGTTTGGCACTGGCAATGGGGAGGGTGTTGGCATTGGCGATGGGGAGGGAGTTGGCACTGGCGATGGGGAGGGTGTTGGCACTGGCGATGGGGAGGGTGTTGGCACTGGCGATGGGGAGGGTTTTGGCACTGGCGATGGGGAGGGTTTTGGCACTGGCAATGGGGAGGGTGTTGGTACTGGCGATGGGGAGGGTGTTGGCACTGGCGATGGGGAGGGTGTTGGCACTGGCGATGGGGAGGGTGTTGGCACTGGCGATGGGGAAGGTTTTGGCACTGGCGATGGGGAGGGTGTTGGCACTGGCGATGGGGAAGGTTTTGGCACTGGCGATGGGGAGGGTGTTGGCACTGGCGATGGGGAAGTTTTTGGCACTGGCGATGGGGAAGGTGTTGGCACTGGCGATGGGGAAGGTGTAAGGGGATGTAAGGAAAGGTACAGATTGCACAGGGAGAGGAAGTGAAGGAAGCATCAAAATGCAGAAGCAGATAATCTACCCATGAGAAGGCATACAACCAAAACACAGTATGTATGGGATTCCATCTTACAAGAAGTAGCCAAGTTGTGAATGCCTGACATTGCAGAAAACTTGTTGTATATTTGGCAATGCAGTGTTTATGCACTCATCAATAATATGAACAATGCAAAAGAAAAGATAAGTTGCAGCTACATTCATAAGGAAATTGCTTATCACCTGGTGGTGTCTTGTCACACGTGTAGCAGAAGGAGCCACACTGCTTGCAGAAAGCACTTAAAGCATTCTGTGGGACCACGCAGCTGCTGTAGTCAGGAGGGCACGTGATTGCAGTCCATGAAAAGTCCCTGTGTACACACGAAGTGTCCACGAGCTATGAGATTACTGGTGAAGCATACATTGGTCTGTTCTGCCTGACATTGCCAGCCCGGTTCAATAACTGTCAGGCCAATCAGAATTCGGCCAGCCCAGTCCAAGTCGTGACCTTGGTACCTTAATTACTTCGTACCTGTGGCTGCAATATAACATGAGCTATGCTTCACCAGTGGAACACCTACCTAGGTACCTTGAACACCACTTTGTGCAATGCTTCAAAGCTAGAACGATAGAAATGCATTTTCATATGCGAAGATGCCTTACAAGTGATTAAGAAGAGTGAGATTGGCTACTGTTGGAGGGAGCTGGCCAGTGAGGCTGTTCCAACTGACATTGCTGTAAAAAAAAAACAGATAATAAACGGTTTAGCCCCAGCTAGGGCATTGCCATCATGATTCCTGATGGTGCATACATGCACCAGGTTTCACATGTACTAAGATGAAGACACAAAACATTGAACCAAAAGATGATAAAAGGTGGAAGAACATTGGAGAGCAAGATAGAAAAAACACGGCCTCCTTGGTCAATGGCCTGAATGCAGCGGCCTGGCCCCGTGCTCATGCTCAACGTATAAGGTCATTCAAAAAAATGAGTCGACTTGCTGCGCAGGTCCTCTGATTTCCGAACCTCTGTGATGTGATGCTGGCTCTCTGTCTTATTCCCATGACGATACTCACAGCCAAACTAGGTTGGTCAGGCTACCGATGGTGGATGGAATAGACCCACTCAGAGAGTTTTTGTAAATATACCTGATAGTACAACATGCGAAGGGTGCAATGAATGAAACAAAATACTGAATACTGTAAGAAAATCTTTCTAATATTCATGGACACATTATTAGGGCTGCATATGTGGATACTAATGGATACGATAAGACCATTTCTACTGATCACATACAGAGGGTGCCTTGGAACAGATACAAGAACTAAAAAGTAGGAGAGGGACGTCTATTGTGACGTAAGGAGAATGATTGAAGAGAACATCACACGCAATCTATTGTGATAGAAGCAACCAATTCGAAAAGGTGCGTGATTGTGAACACAACACAAACAAGCTACTAGACTTTAATGCTGACATGATAACACAATGCTGTAAGTAACAGCCATTACAAAAACCAAAGAAAAATGAAACAGCAAGCACTATCCTGTTTGTTACACAAGCATGCAAACAAGTACACATGGAGAAGCACCAGATAAGGTTACAGAGTGAACAATGTTAGTGGTTGTGGATGGAAATGCGTAGCAAGATATGTCAATGAGATTGAACAGCAGTGCATAGAAAGTGCCTAGTATAGTATAGCTTATCCTATAATGTCTTTGCTGCACTTGAACAGTTTTATTATGAGAAGGAAAGTTGTAAGCCAGCAGCTTGCCTAGTCTTGACACTTTATTTTGGGGGCAGCTATATCTCATGGCCCTGGGTCTTTACCCTTCGCTGCTGACATGATTTCAGAAAACCTCACTTTCTTTCTCCTGCCCATGTATGGAAGTCTCTGAATCTCCCTTGCCCATGTTTCTTATCTCTTGTTTTGTGAGGCTAATACGGAGAGATCAGTGGCAGACCATGGCACCCAGATGCCTGGCTCAGCCCACCGGCCTGGCCCCTTGGTCATTCTTAAGTCCTGCTGACTTGCCCAGGCCCTCTTCTAAACCTTGACGAGGTCATGTAGGCTATGTTTCTAATTTCTTGATAATACTCACAATCTAGAGAGGTTTCTCATGCTCCCGATGGCGGACGAAATAGACCCACTCAGTCTGTTGTTGTCAAGAAACCTGAAGGGATAACATCCAAAAAAAGAAGGTTGTTATGGGTGGAGAGAAATACCGAATACAGCAAGAAAATTTTACTGTTATTCAAGGGCACATAATCAGAGTTGCATATGTGGATAGTAACCGATATGGTGAAACTGCTGATAGCACGCACATGCAAAGGGTGCCATGAAATTGACACATACTTAGAAATGAAAGAAAGGTAGGAGAGAGATGAGTAAATGACTGAAGAAATGATGGCATGATGAAATCTGACCGTGATACAAGGTGCTACCTTGAAGGGTGCCTAATTGTGAGCACAGCGTAAGCTGCTAAACTAACCCTTGACTTAATAACAAATTGTTGCAAGAAACAGGCATTTCAAGAATTGAAACAGCCATTTCAAATTCTGTAGGATAGGACAATGAGCACAGCTGTGAATGCACCGTTTTTAGCATAGCTTACTCCAGTATACAATGTCTTTGCGGTCTGATTGATTATGATAAAGAAAGTTTATAAGCCAGCAGAAGAAGAGTTTCAGTTTGATGCAAAGGAGAGCGCAGGGCCAATCCTGAGGGTGGATTGATAAAATCTGGATTGAATACTTGATCTGGGATGATGGAACTAATGGCAGCTAAATCAGAGAACTTCACGTTCATTCTCCTGACCCATGTATGGATGTTCAGAGTCTCCCTTGCCCTTGTTTTGTTCCTCTTGAACATTGCAATACCTTGTGGTGAGGCTCTTACGGAGAGATTGGTGGCAGACCCTGGTAACCAAAATTAGATTGTGAGGCTTCTTGCAGGAGTTAAGGTACAGAATTACTGATGCCTAGAGTTCTACCCATGGCTGTCAATGATGCGGCCCTGCATGTGCGACACGCCACCTTGTGTCGATCTTCTCCATCAAAATGAACCCGGCACGAACATGTTTGAATCAAACTTGCAAGTACTTGGATCGAACATCCATGCTTTTGACCATAGCAGTCGAACACTCTAACACCTGTTTCTCAGAACCCGTTTTTGACGTACAGAACATGTTCAGTTTGAGCCCTTGGTTTATTCAATAGGTTTGACTCGAACACATTCATCTTCCATTTTACCCATCCAAATATCGGAACACAGCTGGTTTGATGTTGTGAAGACCTGCCATGTCACGGCTTAATAGTGGCATGTTGAAGCCAGATAAATTGGCAATGTGATCATTGTCTCGCAAATGGTTGGGTTGGGATGTCCCAGATTTACACAAATCAATGGGCAACCCCTGCCTGGCACCATGTGGTGGATCTCTAGTTGACTTGGTGTAGAACAGACGGATGGACCTTGGTGGCCCAAATCCAGCTGGCTCTTCTTGATCATGCCTAGCGTGCATTCATATACTCCAACTAGAAACCAACTTAAGCTATAGTTAAAGGAATGCATCACAGCCATCCAACCCGTTGGTGAGATTTCAATCACATTTTGTTGATACTAACAGGTACGTAAGGCTGCTCATGTTGCCGATTGTGGATGGAATAGGTCCAGTCAAATTGTTGAAGGCTAGAGACCTGATGATACATACCCATGAAGGGTTCCATTCAAGGGTAGAGAGAGTAAAACTTAACATGAAGCAACCCGCCCGCCAACCATAATAGTGCCAAATCTGTGCGAATCCGGCGTAAAAAATCCAGATTTCCGCGGATCTTGCGGCGGATGGCTAGATTTATGTGTATGTGGCAGCAAATTGCCAGATATGCAGTGATATGAAAATGATTTCAATCATTTGACATTTGTACCCCTCCCCCCGTCCCAAACCCCCCTCGCCTCTCCCCCTCTGTAGGGTCAAATGTCCTTTGACTTTATCTGGCTCGACGAGTCAGAAAAAAACTCACGAAAAAACCATGCTTATTTTGGCGAGTTGTTTTGTTGGGGTTTTTAACTCGCAAGATGAACTCTCCTCGTCAGAGAGTTTAATTGACTTGTGTGCCCGTGTACAATGTTTAGTGGGTAAACCAAACATGTTCGGTCTTAACCGAACCTGTCGTTTTGAAATGTGTGTTTACTGTTTGCCATTGTAGGCGAACACGTGTGTTCGCCTTGAACATGAACATGCTTGGGGTGGACTTGTTTGTGTTCGCCCAGTGGGTGTATTTTGCTAGTCACATTACAAGCAACCTTGAATTTTGCAATGTATTCGAGTGCCTTTTCCCCCGTTTGGTTGGGGGGGTGTTGTGGAATTAAGGAAAATGTGTTGTAATGTTTGAAACATTTGTAGGACGTGACTAGTCCAAACATGTTCTTGTACGATGTCGTTCGCTACTCACTGCCGAACCGAACTGAGCATGTTCGAGATGAAGAGGTTGGACCCAACACTTTTAGCAAGAAAAAAGCACCCTGCTCAGTTCAATCTTAACATGTTTGAATCCAACCAAATAGGTGTTCAACTTATTGCTCAAGCATAGCAGATACTTGCAAGTATTAGCCGTGCAATTTTTGAATCGAACATGCATGTGTTCGACCATGGTAATAAAGAACTTAGACACCTGTTTCCAAGAATCCAATTGAGTTGAACCAAACATGTTCAGTTCGACTCTGCACAATGTGCTCTGCAGGTATTTCAGTCAAACACATTGGTGTTCCGGGTTTTTTTTCATTCCTCTTCTTACCCACGTCACGTACCAGTCCAGCATCGATCACAGCTGGTTTGTTGCTGGGAGATCTTGCAACGTCATGGCCTGATACTGGCGCGTGTGACACCAAGTGCACGGGGACGAGAGGTTGGTAGACAATATCCTTGTTGTTGTCGAGTTTGGTGAGCACATCCAAGATTCGCATGGATCAGTGGGCAGCTCCTACCTGTCACCATATAATGGACCTCCAATAGACT